TCGGTTCCCGGTACCGGAGAAAAACCAAAAAAAAAAAAAAAAAAAAAAAAAAAAACCCCGAACTCTCCTTGCTGTTTGGCTTGACTGGCTTGGCATTTCATTCCCAGGGAGTTATTTACAAACTTGAATACTTGAGGGTGTATTTTTTTTCCTAGATAACTTATAATGATACTAAAGAAGAAAAACTCTCAAAATTAATACCCAGAGAAATCTGCTCGTTTCACTTTAATTCTTTTCTGTAAGTTTCCCAAGTTAAGACCAATCCCCTGACCTCACACTGTGCTCTTCATGTATTTTGAGAACGATAATCCAAGTTTTGGGAAAAGCAAAGCAAACTTAATCTACTCACTTCCCTTTATACTTATTTTATCTACCATCTAATCTCCCTTAAACCTCCTGCCCCCCAAAATATTTCAAAGTAATAAGAAATTATTTCATATTTTCCTGGAAAGAAAACACACCGCATACAAATTTTCCCACTTTAACTATGATGAGGCTTCTAAAGTGATGTCCCCAAGCCTCACACACTCCGGGGGGGCTTCTGGCGCTGACTGCACCCTGGGGCGACAGACAGCTCACGGCCAAGGGAGCCGCTAGAGGCAGGGACTGCTCCGAAGATGGGGCCGCCGGGAGCGAGTGTGGCAGGGTCAGGGCCCTCCCAGCCTCCCGGCTCTCTGGCCCCAGCTCCTGAGGACAGCCGCTCTCCTACAGGCGCCTCCGCCACACTGCCTCATCTCTGGAGCTGGCATGGGCTGAAATGGGAGGAGCCAAAACAAACCTTTCCTCACTTACACTGCGGGTGCGGCCAGCAACCAGGAAAGGGACCCAGAAAGGCCATGAGACACTCCTACTGCTTCACCAGTTTATTTGTCAGCAGGGAGAAGCACAGTACGTACAATCCTCTGCAGTACAGCAGCTCAGAACGCCAACCCAGCAGTCCTCTGCAGCACAGTCGCTCCAAACAATTACACGACAGACAGAAGAGCTCTATATTTAACTGCCGCAAGTCTCACGGTTATCTCCTATGACAACATCTAAATTGTCACTCTCCTCTTTAACACTGTCACACTGAAAAAGGGGAGAAAGCCAGATGTGGTGGTGCACACCTGGAATCCCAGCCCTCAGGAGGCTGAGACAGGAGGATTGCTGCAAGTCTGAGGCCAACCTACACTACACAGGAAGTTCAAGGCCAGCCTGGACTACATAATGAGACCCTGTCTCAAAAACAAATAAATAAACAAACAAAATAAACGGACATTAAAAAGGGGGGCAGTGAGTAAAGGTATGGAGTAAAGAATACCTGGTCCTACAGCTTTCTGACTGTACAAACAAGGCCCGAATGTGCTTCAACACCCTGCCTTTGCCATGAAACCCTGCTTCTTCCGGGAAGGGTGTCTGTTTCTAGTGCTCATTGGTTTGTCAATGAAAACATGAGTTCAGAACGCTTATCTAATTACCTATGAAAATTCTGAGAATATATAAAAATGTTTAATGTATAATCAACATAAAATCTCTTCTAGAAAAAGAGATCTTATCTGTTTCAATCCATGATTAGAACTGTTCAACCAAGTAGTGAAATTAAAAAATCATTATTCTGATGACTCTGACGACTTGAAAATCTGTAACTCTTTACCTGAAAATGTTGATACAGCCTCAAATGTCGTGTCCAAAGTAGAAGCAAGAGCAGCAACTTTATCTGCAGCCACTACGTAGTGGTCTCCAGAAGTAGAACACTTCACAACAGCATACCTGACAAGAGAACGTGGGGAGAAAACCACCAATCACAAAAATAGAAAAGCTATGCGTAACATTTTAGTTTCAAATGTTGTTTTAGAAAAATTGACATCAGTAGTGGAGAGAGGGAAGGAAGGGGAAGTAAAAAGAATGAGAATGTGCTAAGTATGTATTACCAATTCCCCACAACGAATGTAATTACCTAATAAAAATCAATTTTTTTCACAACTTTTGTTTTTATTTTCTTTGCAGTACTGGGGATTGAACCCAGGACTTCATGAATACTAGGCAAGTACTCTGCCATGAAGCTACAGCCCCTAAAAACATCTGGCAAGATCAAAAAGTTCTATTTCCAAAGTACTCTACACTTCACACTACTGTTTCATTTTCCAAAAAAGCTGGAAATAAGGATTCTTTAAAAGGAATCATCTAGGGGCTGGGGATTTAGCTCAGCGGCAAAGCGCCTGCCTGGCAAGCGCAAGGTCGTGAGTTCGGTTCCCGGTACCGGAGAAAAACCCCCAAAAAAAAAACATTTGTGGACTAAAAGGAATCATCTAAGAGGCCAGGGATACAGAGCAGCGGCACAGCACCCGCCTGACAAGTACAAGGTCCTGAGTTCAATTCCTGGTACCAAAAAGAACAGGAATTATGTAAAGCTTAACAGGATCTACATGAACATCGCGTCTTCTAGGTCACAGCAAGCCATATTCTCTAAACTTCAAGAAGAGGCTGGAACCAACTCAGCGTCACGCGGACGACGGGACGAGCCCTATCTGCAGATAAACCCGCAGCACAAGGGGGCCCTACTTTGACTGCGGCGAGTAGCACAGGGCCTGGTTGGCTGGGACTGTCCATGGCTGCGTGGTCCACACCAGCACGCTCACAGGGGCGGAGCTGTCTGCGGGAAGAGGGAGAGGACATTGGCAAACCCGATGACCCTGCCCTGTGCTAAGCTCAGTGTGAAAACACCCAGCTCACCGAGGAGAGACGCCAGCTTCGGGGGAGGCGTCCGGAGGGGGAACTTCACGTACACGGAACGACTGGAGTGTTCAGGGTTATACTCAAGCTCTGCTTCAGCCAAGGCAGTCCTGAGGGCTCAAGGTATGCAACATAAACATTTGCAAGCTTCACATATTTCTCCCCTGTAAGTACTAAAGAACACACATATACCTTGACGACGGAGACCAGAACACAGGTTTGTAAGACCGGTACACCAAACCCTATAAAAGACAAAGACATTATATAAAACCAGAAATGTTGTAACATGCACTTCAACACACTGAAAAAAAAAACAAAAAACTTCATTACCTTATCATACATCTGGTAAAAAATTCTCAACTGTTTGGCCTCATACTTTCCATCAAATGTATAGTAGCAATTATTCCAATCTGCCATTATTCCCCACCGAATAAATGCTGATTTCTGTTTCTCAATGGCCGCTTTAGCAAATGACCTAGCTAAAAAAGAGAAGAGACGAGAAGCTTCCAAAAACCAACCAATTCAAATTCTTAAGCATAGGTCAGCATGCAGTGCTCTCGCTGCAAGGGTTACACAGATGAGACCTTTTCTCAACACTGCAGGGTGAGCCAGGAACTCTGCACTTAGCTACATCCTCAGCTCTTTGTATTTGAGGGTTTTTTTTTTCGGTACCAGGGACCAAACTCAGGACCCTGCGCTTGGCAGGCAGGCACTTGTGCCGTTGAGCTATGTCTCCAGCTGCTCTTTGCATTTGAGACAGCGTCGCGCTAAGTCACCAGGTGGATCTCAAACTCGCAGTCCTCCTGCACCAGTCTCCCAGCTGCTGACTACATACAGGCCCGCACGCACGCTGGCAACACTAGGAACAATTTTAATAGATTGCCTGAACATGTTCGTAAGATACAACAAATTCTAGGATAGACTGGAATTTCGAAAGTTAAAATGTTACTACAGTCTTCTGTGTTTTCTAGCTGAAAAATTATTCATTATTTCTTTCTTAGGTTTTTGGTGTCAGTGATCAAATCCAGGCGTGGCGGCACACGCCTGTAATCCCAGCACTTGGGAGGCTGAAGCAGAAGGATCGTTGCGAGTTCGAGACCAGCCTGAGCTAGAAAATGAGTTCAAGGCCAGCCTGAACTGCACAGCAAGACCCTGTCTCAAAAAGACACACACAAAAAAAAGGAAAAAAAGAAACAAATCCAGGGTATTATACATATGAGGCAAGCACTCTACCGCTGAGCTACCTTTCCAGGCCTTCCCTATTACTTTTTTTTTTTGTCTTTCTGAGACAAGATCTCACTATGCAGTTCAAATTGGCTTTGAGCTCACTTTGGAGCCCAGGCTGGTCCTGAACTCACAACAATCTTCCTACCTCAGCCTCCTGAGTGCAGGGATTATACGGGTGCACCACCATGCCTGGCTTTTACTTTTTTTTGGTACTGGGAATTGAACTCAGGACCTTGTGCTTGCCAGGCAGGCGCTTGTGCCGCTGAGCTATATCTCTAGCCCATTACTTCTTAGTTTAAGGAAAGTCAGAGAGTAATTCTCATTTCATTATATACTAAAACAAAACAAAAAAATTAATCAGCATATTGAGTCTAAGTCAACAATGGTGTGTTTCACAAGGAAGTACAAATGTCTTCACAATCATACCCTAACATACAACAGTTAACACTCAAGAAAGAAGATTCCTCTCTGGACAAATCTACTGAAGAAAAGGGCCAAGCAGGAGAGTAATTCAAAAACACCGGTATTTTAGAATTTAGTACCTGAAATGAGTCAACAAGCCCTATCCAGCAAAGTAAAAACAACTAACTAAAACTGCAATTTAATAAAGCACGAACATTCAGCAAGCGGAAGAATTCAACATAATATGCTCATACCACCTTTTCTTCTACCTCCATACAAAATCAATTACACAAAATCTGAGAGTTCTGTGACACAAAGTAGTTATCAACAGACCTCATTACAAGCAAACCAGAACAAAACAAAAGGTCCCTTGGGCACAGGCCTGGCTTTGACAAGCAACCTAAGTGTTTATAGCTACAGGTATTACAGTGGGGTATGGTGGTGCAATTCCAGTACTCGGCAGGCTGAGGCAGGAATAGTACAGGGAGTTCTAGGCCAGCCGGCAACACATAGCAAAACTCTGTCTCAAAAGAACAAAACAAAACAGAAACAGCGATTGCAAGTGTCATTTTAAGAAGAAACAGATTATTTACCTTTCTGTCTAATTTCCATAGGTGAAAGATCCTGAGCCTTTTCACCAAGTTCAGATAACACTTTTATCTCAATGGGCAGCCCGTGACAGTCCCAGCCAGGCACAAAGTGGATTTTGGAGCCTCGCATCATGTGGTATCGATTGGCGATGTCCTTCAGAATCTGCAAAGATGAAATGATAATTGTTCAGATAGGGAACACGTGGCCCACAACTTACAGTCTGCTCTGAATGTAATACCATTTAAACACTGAGAAAGCCGAGTTTTAAAAGGATTTTATAAAATAACCTATTAAATATACCAATTTGGGCGCTGGGGATTTAGCTCAGCGGCACGGCGCCTGCCTGGCAAGCACAAGGTCGTGAGTTTGGTTCCCAGTACCGGAAAACAAAACAAAACAAAACAAAAAAAAAAAAAAAAAAACCATAAATATACCAATTCATGTGCTAAAACAGAAGTAACAGATATCTGAACTTTTAAAATGCTATGAACCCCACCTCAAAAAAATCAAAGAACAAGAGATTTCAAAGTGAAAAACAAACAGGAAAAAATTAACTCTAACGCTATTCTTGGACATGTCTGTCTATGAAATACCACAGAAATGACTGCAGAAAACAGAGCACAGTCAGGGATGGAACACAGAGCTCCCAGCCGGGAGCACAACCCTGACGGAAGCAGGAGCCCCAGGCGGACACAAATTAAAGCACACAGCGAGACCCTGTCTCAAAAAACCCCACAGGGCTGGGAAGTAGCCCTTTGGTACAGCGGCTGCCTAGGGGTTGCAAGGCCCTGGGTTCAATCCCTAGAACTACCCCCTCAAAAAAAAAAAAAAGGGGAGGGAACAAAAGAGCCTTATATAAAACATGATCTGAGTGGATATATTTAAAACAGACAGGGGCTGGGGATTTAGCTCAGTGGCAAAGCGCCTGCCTGGCAAGCGCAAGGTCATGAGTTCGGTTCCCAGTACCGGAGAAAAACCAAAAAAAAAAAAAAATAAAACAGACAATTTTTCTTATATTAAAGTGTCTTGAACATACGTGCCTAGAAGTTACAAAAACGGAAACGAGAACTAAGCTTTATGTAACTTACAGAGAAGGGAAAGACCTAACAGCAATGACTGGTTGTATTTCCTTTCTTCCTTCTGTGCTGACAGCTATATTCTTAAAGCAAACACCAGCAGAAGCCTCTGCGTGTACATAAAAGGGGCTGGCAGGACGGACGGGTCCGGACCAGGCTCTTCCAGGCCTGATCCCACAGAGCCCAGAGGCCTCACCATGCCTCTCCAAATTTCACGACTCTTCACACTCATTTTCTTGACTATCTAGACTCATGTACTTTCTGGATCCTTTGGTTATTAACCTTACGTTTAAATTTGTATTTATCATTCTTTCTGATTTCAAAAGAAATACAAGGTCCTTGTTGAAAAATTAAAATGTTACACAAGTACATTAAGCTTTAAATCATAACAAAATTAGATTCCAATATAACATGGCTTCTGGTTTGTTCATTTGCAGTGCTGGGGAGCCGATCCACAGCCGTGTGCACGCAAGGCAAGAGCTCCACCACTGAGGCACATCTCCAACCCAAAGTAACGTGGCTTTAAAACTTGCATTCCTATTTATCAGACTTCGACATCTTTTATTTGGAGATCTAGTATATACACACCTACCTCACTCCTTTTAAGGTTGTACACTTCATTATCACCAGGATTTATTTACAAGCCTCATTAAGAGTAATATGATCACATAGGATGCAAGATCAAAACAGGATAATTAATACTTCTTCTAAACAAAGAACTGGCTCTTCTAATAAGAAGCTTTTACGTGCTTATGTAAATTTACATAATTATCACACTTTTTACAAAGTAACCAAGAAAACATTTACATGGATTCCAATTACCTTATTTAAGGCATGTCCAATGTGAGGGTCACCATTTGCGTAAGGAGGTCCATCATGAAGACAAAATTCCGTCTTTACTTTTCTTTCTCTTTGCCACGAATAAAGTTCTGAAAACCCACATTTCTGGTTAAAAAGAACAAGACCGTATCAGTACACAGGGCAGAATCAAAGCCTAAGTGACACCCAACATCTGCTTATTCTTAGCCCATCTTTATCTATTGGTCTCTGAAATCTACATGGTGAGGATTCTGCAGTGCACATCTGAGTATTCTCCTCTTAAAGTTTTTGCAAAAAATAAATCCTCTCCCAGCACTTGGAAGGCTGAGGCAGGAGGATCACTATCAATTCAAGGCCAGCTGGGCTACATAGTAAGTTCAAGGCCAGCCTGAACAACATACAGCAGTGAAACTCTCAAAAAATTCTCCAAAAATAAGTATCAATCCTTTTCTGCAACCCAGAACCCATTGTTCAGTATAAATTCTGATACACCCAAGAAGGAATATTACTGCCAGGGGCAGTGGTACACGCCCATGATCCTGACACTGGAGGCTGAGGCAGGAGGAACGACAGTTTGAGGCCAGCCTGGACATTGTGAGACTGCCTCAGAGAACAAAAACAAAAAATTATAGCTAACACAGATTAAAGTGGATGAGGTGGTTGGTTCCAAGACTAAAGTGCTGCTCATCGGCACAGGCACGAGCAAAATCTCAACTCTACGGACTCGGTACTCCAATTCCCCTGCCTTGACACACGGAGACGGCTTTTCCTCTCCTTAAAGGCTTGGGCCTGGGGTGTGGGGCTGAAGGAGTGTGTGTCTGCACCTCTTTTGTTTAAATGCGCTATGTAGGAAAATCAGATTACAACTTCCGCGGGCGTTAATGAAAGATTGTAGTCTTCTTCAACAGAGTAACGAGTCTTCAGCCGTTTCCGGCGCAGCCCCCCGCCGCGGCCCCGCCCAGGCCTGGGAGCCCCAAGT